ATAGCCCAATGTAGCTTTGCTCCATAAAAAACAAAAACAAGCAGTTCTACTACACACAAACTAGCCGATTTATTATTACTTCAGTCCTTTTCAAAGTTATTTGGTAAAAACATGAACACTTCCACTGGTTTTTGCAAGAGGAGCACACTTTGGCCACCCCCTTAAACTTAGCATCTTCGTGGCCGAACACTGTTGGAAGACAAGTTCTTCTGACAGTATTATTATTATTATTATTTAGGTTAACTGATAAGCCTTTTATCGGAGTACTTTTTTCTGTATTAACTTTCATACCGGAAGTCGTGACATCCTTATGTAACCCAACCAAGCCCCCGATATCGGTCTCATTGACTGGCAGCCTATACAGTCATATTTTAAAAAAAGTCCTTAAAGTACCTCTCATAAAGTCGCAACAGGGGGTGCCAAAACTCCAGCTCTAAAACGGCCACTATAAATTTCAATAAGGTAACGATTTCCCCGAGATGAACTGCGATTTTGGTCCAAAACAAATGACTCACTATAAAGAGTAATAATGGCTGGAGACGGCTTAAATGGGTAATGAAGAAAAACTTTAATATAAGTTTAACATGACAGCAAATGTACAACGTTTCGACAAGGTTTTGTCATCATCAGGTACTCGTCATCGAATTTGAATTCACTATAAAGAGATATATTGTAAAATTGATTTGGTACCAGGAGATAGAAAAAGTCGAAAAGATAAAGAAATAATGTAAACAAGAGGGTCACGTTATTTGGTCATTAAACTGCTTATTTTTACACTACGTTTGTTCATATTTTTCCTCGACTTCTATAATACCTTGGTCACCAGTATATCAAAAATGGTCAGAACTGCCACTGTAACAAGATTCTGTAGGGCTGTAGTGAAGGGGTCTCCGAAATTCCGCCTGCTTACTTGCCCACTCTTATACACGCGTTATGTAATATTTCACGTTTGTGAAGGAATTTAGAGGTTACCATACCCATATTTTAAAGTAAATTATGACAAATTTAGAATTGTCGAAGCTAAAGAAATAATTCCATACAGTGAACAAAATCAAATCTGATAGACGGCGAAGAAGACTTGTAAATGTTTGTGCAAACTTATCCTACAAAACAGAGTTGTACGTGCTTGGTCTTATCTTCTAAGCTAATATTCAGTAAATAGAGAAAATACTACCCTAAACCACATTTGTGTTAAAAAAAACAGAACAGCTGTTATATGACACAAAATAAATCATCTAAACATTTTCCATAGAGACTAAAACAAATATAAAAATAATCTCAGCGAAAATATGTAAAACATCGTTTCCACCCACTTTACAGAATCGGATACCCCCCCCCCCTCCTCCTCCCGATCTAAATACTTAGTCGAAACAATTTATATTATTACGTGAAAAACATAGAAAATCGTGGAACGCTCTTTTAAAAAACTGGAGTCTTATGTTTGCAGTATTTAAATAACAATTAGAATCTTGGGTTCTATGTCCATTATACAATGCCACGTACCGCGAAGAAGAGTAACTGAGTTCGCAACGTGTACACACACACACGCGCGCCACACACACACACACACACACACACACACAAAGATACATAATTTACAGCAGCCTTTCAAAAAGAAAAGAGGGTTTGGGAGAGTAGGAATCGTTTTATACTATTGTTTCTTCTTAAAATTCATGTTCACTCGATATGTTAATTTGATTCTTTTTCATTACGGTTATACATTGTTCATCTACTCAAGTTAAGAAGTAACATAGTAACTCGTGTTTGACCAGAAGATAAGAACGAATTCTTCTACACAACATAATAAAGAACGTGTCAAACTCCAGGTCTTTACCAGCAGGAGATAACATACTAAGGAGTGATTAGAATGTTTCGAAGGCCACAAGGTCTAACTGAAGGTAAAGAGTGGCCTCTTTCCACTCGGTACAACGAAAACAAACTGATAAAAGTTTTGTTGTCAAGGGAAGAAACTTAAATAAACCAATCACAACAATACAAACAAGACTGAATGTTGGCCCTTTATTCAATTATTAAGGAAATATCACAGCGATCAAATACGTAATTCTGTCTCAATCATTACAAGCGATATGCAGAAAAACAACTTATTGCAAAATGATTAGATCTTTGAATTACGAATTATGGCATCAATGAATACAACAGAAGTATTCTCATCATTATCAAACTCACAGTTTGTCTTTGCGGACATTTTCTATTAAATACAAAGCAACTATAAAAGAAGGAAAAAGGCGTATAAAGTTTACGTCAAAAAAAAAATGCTTTTCAATTCTGGATATTATTAGTCTTTCAAACGTCGTGTTAAAACTTCTTTACTTCAGACAGCATCTTAGTAACTCGCATAACACATGAATAAGAATGAGTAAAGTTAATATACATGAACCAAAAGAGCTTGTAAGTACTTATTATAATCATCTATCTCTGACAAACAAAGTTACAACAAAACAGTTATTTTTTTAATGATTAGAAATATTTGTTAATGCATAAGCACGATTAACATTTAAAATTATTCTTTGCATCTTAATGTCCCAAACTTTCTGGAGTAAATTGTTAATTGAATAATTGTGTGGTATTTACCTTTTAAGCCTAGCTTCAATTATATAAGTAAACGCAAACAAACTTTATTGCATGGAGAATAACTGGAAACAGGCACAATTGTAAAACAGACACTTTAATATTAAGTTATAAAATAAGATAATCACAAACTTTTTCAATATATTTTCTATGTATAGTTGTTTGACACTGATGTTCATAGTATGGAATACAGTATTACTGTCACCAAAGGTTGGCGTTGAGCCATTTCAGTTTTCTCAATCACTCACGTTCGTGGTTTTAATGTCCTCCATATTCCAGAAAAAAGACTTGGCCGACCAGAAAACCTGGTGTTGGAAAAAATACAAGTTTAAACTAAGTTTACTGTTTATATGTCCTATACTATAATTTATTTAATTTTACTTGTCATCGTTTTTACTTATAATTAGTAATCAAGTTTTCTATTGCTTAAGTATATCATGACATTGTATGTCATGAATAATAGGACTAAACAGTTACGTAATGTGTATTCCTCTAAAGCCAAGGGAAAAAAAGATCCCACCATCAAAAATATTTTCTGCTACATTGTACTTTTTTTTTTCATTCTGACGAAGCAATTGCAATAAAGTCCAAATCGTTATCTCAAAACCTGATGGATTCAACATGGGACCAGAATCCTTATCTCAAAAATTGGAGGATTTAACATGGATCCTGAATCGTTGGCTCAAAATTAAACGAAATGGGAAGTTGTTAAAAACATGTGGGGAACCAATTTTACTTGTTTTTGAAAGACATGGAAGAATTGAGAACAATCTGAATAGTTTCATAATAAAGTTACACTAATATTCACAAACAAAAACGTTTATTGGATTAAAAAGAACACACCAAAGATGGAAGTTTCTAAAAACCTTTTTTGAGTACGTACGTTAAA